TCTGACTTCTTCGGTTCTTTCATCGTTCGTTGGATTGCTGCAGTGGTGTAATTGATAGACTACGGAGCCTCTCGAATGTACGGTATATATATATATATATATATATATATATATATATATATATATATATACTGTTTGAGGAAAAAAATTATTTCCCATATAATTATATTTTTCAATCTCCTATGGTAAATGACCATTAGCACAAAATAATTATACTAATATTTTTTATATTATAAATGCTAATTATGTTTTCAATATTCTGCTTTTAATGTCTCTTTATTTTGCCTAATTTCCATTCCCTTCATATTAATGAATGGATTTACACCTAAATCAGGTTTGGACAAACTAAAAATGATCCGTAGGTTTCTTGATATAGAAATGTTCAAAATAGTTGGTGAATATTTAGATTGATGTGGAGATTAGTTAATTTGCACCTACAATTATGTCACTCAAGATTTAAGGATGTACCCCTAAAGAATTAGTCTTGTAGAATTTTTATTCGATATTTTCATTTTCTCTAATGAAAGAATGTGTATTTAAAACATTAATCTCGTGATAATGCATTAAGCTCGTTTATTAACAAATGAGGTTTCGAGACACAACATATCAACTTGTTTTAGTGGTGGCGAGAAATCTGATTAATGAAATTAAATCTCATCTTACACTCGATAATAATAATAATAATAATAATAATATTAATAATAAATAATATAAATAAATTAGGTTAGGTATACACGGAAGGTTAAGCAATGACAAAGGCAGTACGAGTCGATGAGTTGGATATGAATCATCGTGGAAGCCTGTCATTTTGGTCTCATCCAGAGCGAGGGCCCGGCCGCCGGTGGTCGTAGCCACCCTATTAACGTGATGAACATTCTCCTTACCGAGTCAAGCATCCTGTTTGTCCATTTATCTCATGAGTTACTGACTGTGACTTTGATGCTTGCCGTGTGGATGTACTGTTGGTCAACGTCTCGTACTACAACCGCGGAAAGAAGGTAGATCTGCAACTCCTGGGGTTACTTCCTGGTTGCTTCTTCTGATTGGTACGTAAGATCTGAAACCCATGCTTTGCGCACTATAAAAGGCCCCCAGTTGCCTCCATTTCCTTTCATCGATCACCATTCGAGAAGCAGTATAGTAGCACAGTTGGTAACCGGATCACCCCATCTGTCTTTTGGAGAAATGGCCGTTCCAATCATCGATTTCTCGAAGCTGGAGGGGGAGGAACGAGCCGAAACATTGGCACAGATTGCCACTGGATGCGAAGAATGGGGATTCTTTCAGGTCTGTTATCATGGCTTTGTTTTCTTTTTCCGCGGGTCCTCTTCTTTCTCCTTCCGATGTTCTTATGAAGTCGATGCGTTTGCAGCTGGTGAACCATGGGATTCCGGTGGAGCTCTTGGAACGCGTGAAGAAGGTGTGCTCGGAGTGCTACAGGCTCAGAGCCGAGGGCTTCAAGGGGTCGAAGCCTGTGCAGCTGTTGAACAAGCTGGTGGAAGAAGAAGAAGACGAAGCTGCCGACGCTAAGCGCTTGGACGACGTGGACTGGGAGGATGTCTTCCTACTCCAGGATGACAATGAGTGGCCGTCCAACCCACCAGAGTTCAGGTAATCATCAGCTTCCTATCGGGACTTGTTAGGCTGATTGATATGTGGCTGTACTCCGTCTGTCCTAGTGCTGAAAGTTTGCACGATCATGCAGGGAGACCATGAAGGAGTACAGGGAAGAGCTGAGGAAGCTGGCGGAGAAAGTGATGGAAGTGATGGACGAGAATCTGGGCTTTGAGAAGGGCTCCATCAAGAGTGCATTCTCCGGAAACGGGGAGCATCATCCCTTCTTCGGCACCAAGGTGAGCCACTACCCGCCGTGCCCACGCCTGGACCTGGTGAACGGCCTTCGCGCCCACACCGACGCAGGCGGCGTCATCCTCCTCTTCCAAGACGACCAAGTGGGCGGCCTGCAGATCCTTAAAGACGGGCAGTGGATCGACGTGCAGCCAGTGGCCAATGCCATCGTCATCAACACGGGAGACCAGGTCGAAGTCCTCAGCAACGGGCGGTACAAGAGCGTGTGGCACCGGGTGCTGACGACCAGCGACGGCAACCGTCGCTCCATCGCTTCCTTCTACAACCCCTCCTTGAAGGCCACCATCGCTCCAGGGACCAACGAGGACGACTCTGCTGCAGCACTGTACCCCAAGTATGTTTTCGGGGACTACATGGATGTGTACGTGAAGCACAAGTTCTCGCCAAAGGAACCCCGCTTTGAGGCAGTCAAAGCTCTGTGAGGATCGAAAAATGCATAATTGTTGGAATTTACTTCTCATATATATATATATATATGAATGATTCTTTGTGGTGTTTTATGAACATGTGTAATTTAATTAATGGTTTTGTTTTGACTTGGCATAAATAAAATAAAAAAAAATATGTTTTGATTTATACATTCAAAATCCATATCAATGATGTGAAGTAAGTAAGTGATTTTTTTAAATAAAATTTTTTATCAACTAAGTCAGTTAATATCTTCGAGTACGTAATGATTCAAAATATTATGGAGCATAAAAAATATTTCAGAAAATCTAAAATTTCAAAACAAAAAAAAGATATCCTGTACCCAACCCGGCCCCAAAGAATAGATCATAAAATTAGAAGAATCTGATTGTGTTTCTAATGACATTTTATCTGACACAATTAAATAGAGTCTGAGACAGCAGTTGATGGGAACCCTTCTTGCTCTCATGTCCCAATCTCCAAACCGCAAATCACAATCTTATCTGCCTTTTGTGTGTGTCGTGTCCTCAGCTTGGCATGAACAGCCTGCCGACAGGCGTATTTGGGAGGGAGTGAGTGGCCGGAATGGTCGTGTTGTGGGCGGCTAAGCTTATCAACCTATGCTTCCTTACTGACGTAACCAATAACGTTGCTGATGACGTCCGACGGTCAGAAATATCTCCCTCATTTGGCCAATATTGAATCTAAGAAATATATTGCATCCTTTGTACCAGCATTTTTCACTGGTCCTTCCTTTAAAACTACACAAGGACTACTGCTGACGTGACGTCACCAGATATAATATGTTTAATAATTTTTTTATTATCAAAATTTATTCTGTATGAATAATATATATCCATCCAATAAAAAATTAGTATGAATGATACGATATATTTGATCGTATTATGTATTGATACGTTGATACATATCATAATCGATCGATACATTGGTATAAATGGATTGATAAGATAAATTATATTTATTAGTATGTCAAAATTTTTGATTGATTAAAAATAATAACAAAATTTAATATTGTTTGAGAAGGCATGATGCTTTGGGATTGGTGAGTGTTGACCTTCGACGAACACATCTCCCTCTGTTGCTGTCATTGGCTTTCTCACTCATCCTCGATCGCCATTAGTCTTTCTCACTCATCACGTGAAGTAGGCATCACGGTCTTGTCGAACCCAATGTCATGTGACCCAATCCCCACAGCCACTACAAAAGTACAAAGCCACCACCGCACTGACCTTTGCGTCTCTCTGCCACTTACCCGCGTTGTTTCCTCCACCACCACGTAAGACCACATTGTTCATGTTCGACTAAGACATCGTGACTCGATTAGTAATTTGTGTGCCCACAACTTTCAACCTTTTCTAATCTATTTTGTTCACCAATAGAACGAGATGTTTTTATTTAAGAAGATTTTTAATGACAATCATTTTTTTACTTTTGTCATCATAACTTTATAAATGAATATAAATATTATTAACTTATCACTTAATTTTAAATATTTTTACACCTACTTCCAGACAACTTATTTCTTTACCATCTTTCCTCTTTCTCTTCTTTTTATCATTCTTTCTCTTCTACTAATTGTCGAAGATGATCATAAGAGATTCACTTAGGGTTTGAATATAGATGCTCGATGATTGATCAGTGGATGAAATAAGTTGTATGAGATAAGAGTAATTGAGGGGTTGTAAAAAATAAAAAGTACGTATATAATTATTAGGATTGATTAGGGGCATTCAAATTGTATTGAAAAATCAAAACGAACCTAAATCAAATTGGTTCATCGATGATTCAATTGTGAAGACTATAAATTATTTCAATTTAGAACAACATTATTCTTCGATTCGGATCGAACCAAGTCGATTTTAATTTTAAAAAAATATTATCTCCTCCTAAATGCCTCAAATATCCTAAAATCCCTTTATCTATCCTTTATCTATGTGACTCTTCTTTCTCGTTGGTCTTTCTATCTGAATCTTTTTTTTATCAACCTTCTTCATTAAATTTTTTCATTGATTTATATATTTTTAATTAATTTATATACATCATTGTATATAATTATTATCAAGAAAAAAAAGCACTACGTGTAAATTTGTTAAATTGATTAGATATGCCCGAAATGATTCTTTTTCAAAGTGTTTTGCTTTAATCGAATCAAACTATTTTTTTCAATTTGATTTGATTTGACCCTTAGTAGTTTAGTTCGAAACACCCCTATGATTGATATATTTGACTTTAATTAAAACCTTTGTATGTTAAATCCATTTGTAATCTCTTATGCTTTTAATATTATTGACCATCTAATGATAATTATCATGATAGATCATAAGTTCAAATATTGCATCTGTTCTCTTTGTTTTACCTAATATATTTAATTATAATAATTATAAAATACTCCTTCATTATTTAAAAGTACATTATTCTTTTGAGTGAAGTTCATGAGTCAAGCTTACAATCATTTCCTGATAGCTTAAGCCATTGAAATTATAAATATCTTATATGTTAATGGTGCCATATATGTTTTATTAAATTTTAAATATTATTTTGATTTAAATTAATTATTATCTTGACTATTATTATATTCAAATTTTATATAAAAAAAGAAAAATATAAAAAAAAAAAGTAAAAGAAAAGAAAAGTCCTCCCCTTCATTGACCATGCGTTCACACCCACACGTCAAAGTATGAAATGCTACTAATAACCCATCTTCGTCGACGAGTATACGTCCAAAAAGGAAGTCACGAAACTTCTTGCAGCGGAAGCTGAGCGAGAAACGAGAATGGATGGCCTGAAGGTGGAGGAGGAGCACTGCATGTAAGTACGCCTGCAATCCTACCATCTCTCTCTCTCTCTCTCTTATCGCGATCGGTGGAAGGGTCTCACCACATGTAGCTTAAAGGTTCGAGACGAGCCACGTCCTGGGGGCCCTCCTGGCGTCCTCCCCACTGCTCACACAAGCCTGGGGCCGCTGCGTGCACGCCAATGCCGGAAGCTCCAGCTTCGTCCTCCAACGCTGCGACGACGCCGTCTACGTCGCCTTCTCCTCCACGCCGTCGTCCACGCCCACTGCACTCGGCGGCGGATTCTTCGACCTTGTTCCTATCTCCAGCGGCGGCCACGAGCTCTTCGCGCCACTGGAGGGAGCCGCGCATCCGGTGCTCGTCCAGGCCGGCGCTCTCCGTCTCTTTCTGAGCTCCTACCGCAGCCCCGATTTCCAGGTGAACACACACCCACGCACAATTCTACTCCATTGGATTAGTGTTTCCGTGCTTAGATTTTGTGACTCGCTAGTGATCGATCTGCACATAATTCCCCTCAATCGCATCATTTGGATCCAGAAAACGCGTCCACGAGATCTGGAAGCCTTTTTTCTGTTCTTGAGTGGGGAATACGATCTTTTGGACTTGGAACTGCTCATCCCACTTTTGCTTATGTCAATCACCACACCCACAAGTGGATTTCAAAGTCAAACATGACCACCTTTAGGCTTATGGCTTCACATCGAAGGTTGTGAATCGGCGGAAAAGATATGTCCCTCTACTTTTCCTTCGATCCCGATCACACTAATAATTACTCTGCTTCGCATGTTCTAATCCGTCTGTGTCGGCCATTAAAGTGTGTTCCAAATTATGGATTTTTCTGATACATAAGGAAGCTTTAGGGATGATCATGTTGATTTGTCATATGTTCTAAAGGAAGATCGATGAGAGTCAGAATCATGTTTGATTCTCTGGTCTAAAGCTCGTTATCACCCATGGCGAGTCAAGAAGACTGGCCATGTCCAAACAGTTGCAGTCGGCCTACGCCGGCAGGCCATCGCCAAAGTCTTGGTCAGAACAACAAGTTCAAATTTTGACCTGCTTACCCCAAAATTGAAGTCATTTTGCTTCTGTTGCTGATTTGTCTCTGATTGCGTTAACATCGGTAGCTGTGATTGAAGTCATTTTGCTTCTGTTGGTGTTTGTCTATGATCGCGTTAAGATTGCTAGTTGTGATTTCACGTTTTGGACGGGTTTTGTATCGATGGAGTGATGCTCTGAGAAGATGTGAAGATTCCACGCTTTCTTCTTTGGCATTTTGGTCGGATTTGTAGCTCATGACAGGAACAATGTTCTGATCTGATCCGATCCGATCCGGTCTTTCTTCTTCCACCATGGTCAGATGCTGATAACAGAGACCAGAAACAAGTCGGTCATATTCACAGGCCACTCCGTGGGAGGTTCCATCGCCTCCCTTGCGGCCCTTTACTTCCTCTGCTCGTCTTCTCGACCCGACGCTCCATCACCGGCTTCCCTCGTGTGCATCACCTTCGGAAGCCCGCTGCTCGGAGACGAGACGCTCTCTCGAGCGATTCTGAGGGAAAGGTGGGGCGGAAGGTTCTGCCATGTCGTGTCGCAGCACGACATCATGCCCAGGCTGCTCTTCTGCCCTGTGAACGCCCTGCCTCCGCAGCTGGCAATGTCGATCTGCACCTTGATGCAGTCATGGCATCTCTCGATGCGTTATCCGCAGTTTCCGAGACCTGCGCTGCAGCTCACCGACGACCAGAAAGCAGAACTGCAGGGATACATCTCGATGCACATCGGTGCAGCAGCATCGGAGCAAACGCAGCACATCAGCCCTTATCGGCCCTACGGAAACTACGCTTTATGCTCTGCGGAAGGCGCGGTGTGCATCGACGATCCGCTCGTTGCAGCGAAGATGCTTCATCTGACATTTACGACAGGTTCTGCGAGCATCAGCTTCGAGGAGCAGCACATCTCCTACGGGAATCTCGTGGTAGAGCTATCACAAAACCTACAATTTAGGAGGAGACTCCACCTCGAAGACGACGCTCCAAAGTCCAACCGCAGCGCCGGGGTCTCACTGGCTCTGGAGACATCAGGGATCGGAATCCAGGTAGATCACTGGCCCTCGCGATCAAACATTCCAAACATTAATCTCGCTTGAATGATCGATGTGGATGACAGGACATGGGCGCCATGGAGGCTCGGGAATGGCTCGAGATGAGCATGTGCCGACGGCCGAAGCTGCAATGTGCCAGTCTCGCTATCAAGCTCGCCAAGGTGACGCCTTGTCGCGCCCAGATCGAATGGTACAAGGCCCTGTGCGACGACGACACGGGCTACTACGACAGCTTCAAGCTCCGGAGGGCTTCCAAGAAAGACGCAAGGGTGAACATGAACCGCATCAGGCTCGGCCAGTTCTGGGACGAGCTGCTCGACATGATCCAGAACAACAACCTACCCCCCGACTTCCACAAGCGAAGCAAGTGGGTGAATGCAGCTCAGTTCTACAAGCTCCTGGTGGAGCCGCTCGACATCGCGGAGTACTACAGATGCCAGTGGCCCAGGACCAGGCGCCATTACCTGACTCATGGCAGGGAGAGGAGGTACGAAGTGTTCGACAGATGGTGGAACGATCGCAACAAGGAGGCCCCCGAGAAGGCGGCGGCTCATCGGAAGAGGAGTAAGTTTGCTGGGCTGACGCAGGACTCGTGCTTCTGGGCCAAGGTGGAGGAGGCGAGGGACAGCGTGAAGAATGCTTGGGCCGAGAAGAACCCCACGAAGCTGGTGAAGCTTTGGGAGAACCTGCACGGTTTCGAGAGCTACGCCAACGGACTGATCCGGAGGAAGGAGGTGTCGGTGGATGTGTTGGCTCCGCGATCGAGTTACAGCTTGTGGGTGGAAGAGCTGAAGGATCTGAAGTCGAAGCAGGCGTGCCGTCTTCCTTCGTCCTCTGTATTGGTCGGAGTAACAGGAGGAACGTAGAAGGACAAGAGAATCCACCCATCTCATCGACGTTGTAACAGAGATCGGTCTGTGACATTTTGTTGGAAAAAACTATCGTAGCCGAATAATTTTTTTCTTTATTTCAATATTAAAATAGGTTCTTTATTAAAATATTAATTTATTATAAAAAAAAAATTAATTAGAGTAACATAAACGATAGAACAATGATAGATTGATAAAGTGAAATATCTAAGTTTTACATGAAAAACTTAATACGCTAAACAAGATCATAATAATAGGTTTATTTTTCTAAAATAAGTAAAAAATCATAATAATATAAAGAATATAGATCTTAGATCAACAATAACATATCATATCGTTGCAAATCGTTCGGTGCAAACAGCTTGACGCAACATATCTGGGGATAGATTTAGCAGTCAGTACTTTCTGCTAAAAGCTTTCGATGTTAATGATTATTAATTACTGATATTAATTAAATAGCAGACATCTGCTTACGAGTAATGCTTACCACTGATGCTCGATTTCCTCCGTCCTCATCTTAAAAAAGATATGTATCTTTCTGCACCCAACAAGCGTGCAGCTAAACCAACAAATGGAACTGTTGCTAGAGATCGGGAGTGGATCGTCTTTGAAGTGAGAGTTGACAGGAAAAAGAAGCAGCAGTAGCAGTGGACACACATCGGTGGTAGGGGCGACTTCATGCACGGGCATGAGAGAGACGTGACATGGTGGGTTTGATGCTCTCCACTTCGCTCTCGTTTGCCGAAACCCATCTTTATTCCCCCACAGTGACTCCGTTGTGATCACAAGAAGCACGTTTGAGAATTCCATCGTCTAATTACTGTGTACTGCTTGATGTACAGTATCGCTGTGTTCCAAGCTTTCTAGGCATGAAAACTAATGTCAATGCAGGTAAAGGGCAGGACAGAATGCATGTGCTTATTATACTTGTTCTTAATATTCCGGATAGCTTTAGAAGAATTGAAACAATTGGATCATACGATATAAGAACTTTGGTCCTAAAAGTGCCCAAAAGACATGCTGATATCCTCCAAAGATCACACGATAAAAGAAAACAATACATGTGGAACACGACAGATTAATAGTACCCACAAAAAGGACGAAGAATAACGACATGTCGATCGATGCTGGGAAATCAACGCATAATGTTAGTGGATCAATTTCACATGTGCTCCAGTGATCATTACGAAAGCACTCCATCTGATATGGATCACATCTTCGTACGCGCACTAATGGAACTTTTTGTTTTTTTCTTGCGGTAAAATTAAGTAGATATTATTGGAAGAGAGAGAGAGAGAGAGAGAGAGAGAGAGAGAGAGAGAGAGAGAGAAGAAA